AAGAAATATCGGGGTCTTGACTGTTGATGGGAGACACAGCTAACAGCGGTTTTCCATGTCAACACTAAACACTGCCTGTCTAAGAGTTTCTGTGGTATTATGACACTGTCAGACTACAATCTGCCATTAATGATGGGAATGCACATTAAATGTTGGACTCATTATTATTATTAAAATGATTTGGATGTCATATCTGATGGATTTTTGCAGAAAGAAGTTTAGTTGTTCCAGTTGGGGCTTTTTTGGGTGTCGGTGTTTAATGACTCAAATAATCTGCCCTTTGACTCAGTCAGTAGTTCGCTATTTATGACTGGACGTGAGACTCTGACGTCTGAGTGAGAGAAATAATTCAAATTATGTGTAAATGGCATTGAAACTGAGATTTGACACTGGCGATTTTAAACCATCTCATCTGATAGTTTTTAGTGTTTATTGTTCTTGGCTGAGTTCCTCACCTTTTCCTCTGCTGTGTGGCTCACAGCATGAAGAAGCAGAGCGAGGAGTGTTGAAATTGTCTTATTAACTGAAGGATTGATTCAAAACATCATCGAATGTTAGTGAGGAGTGACCTTTGAAGGAACATGGACAAAGTTACTTTGCACAAATTGGACTAAGACACAAACAGCATTTAAACTGCATCCATCGAACTACTTGGTGTCCTAGCACAAAGTCTGAAACATTATTAAGCTTGGCTGAGGGCTTCTATACTCTCGTTTGTTTGATATGCATGAAGAGCTTTCACCTACATAGACTCCACTTTTAGAAGTATTACATAAGATGCTTGCTTGACGTCCAGCGTCCAGTGGCCCGGTTAGGTTTAGGTTTAAATGGAGCTTCTACCTGTACGAGATACCAAAAAGGGAATTTTATAAGACAAGAACTGTGGGAGAGTTGATTTAAAGGTCTTATAGTACATCTTGTAGTTTCTGAATTGTTGCTTATTTAGCACATAGCTAACTTACCACTTCCTTTTCTGGTAGATGTTGCAAGGTTAGTTGGGATGAACGCATATTTGTGTGCGTGCTTGGAAGTTAATACCAGCCTCAGCAGCTTGGAGGCCACACACACTTCAGGGGCACACACAGATAGCCCAGTGGCTCCTAAATGTGCTAGATTATAGACGATAGCATCTCTTCATCAACACGTCTGTTGTAGAAAGAGAGAGAGGTCTGAGATATTAGTCCTGGAGAGTGATAATGACTCAGTGAATCCCCCTTCAGATGTTCAGGCTGTTGGGAAGCTACAGTACAGCTAACAGGCCACAGTGCCTCCTTAGCACCACCCTGTTAATCATCTCCAAATCAGGAGATGTTTATTGAAATGGCTGCGGGCCTGTTCTGTTCGGCTTTCCCTGCACCAGCATAATTGCGAGGAGAGTTGGCGATGGCAGCTGTAGGCTCTCATCTCACAGTGTGTGGAGTAAAGAATCCATGGGGGAAATCAAGGCCAACTTCAAGTACTGCTTTAGTGAGACAGTACAGTGGACTATCATGTACTGACGGTCAGAGGAAGAGCGGCTTAGAGTGGAGGCCATGGCTATTGGGTTTGGTTCAGTGTTTGTGCACAGCTGATCTTCTTGGTGGACTGTATGTTCTCTCCATCATGCTCAAGATATGGATTGCTTAGATTAGTGATTATTTTCTTTGTTCCCTGATTGCAAAGACTCGGAGAACAATTTCATTAAAACAACACAGACAGTGTGACAGGGTTAGTGGTGACGTTGGACTCGGGGTTAACACTGAGCGGGACTAAATGAGTAAAATACAGTTTATGTGGTCCTCTGCATGAAAGGTCATTTCTAAGTGCTTTATGACGAGTAAATAGTAATCAGCTCACTCTCTCGTGTCTGTCTCTTCATGCAGCGGTAATTCAGCTTCACCTACTGATGTAGTCTTTGCTCTGCTCTGCAGCCTCAGTCAGCTCCACATGCTGCCACGTGAACTATTTCTACACTTTCTGCAGGTTTGGCTGCTTTGCAGGTCACAGAGACACCAGAATCAGAGCTACCATCAGCAGCTGCTTCCACGGCAGTGGTGCTGTTTGTTGCTCTAATGAAGCAATGAAAAAGACCTGAGAAAGGAAGTGCTGCATCTTACTGTTTAGCAGTCACTAAAACACAAAGATGAGAGTTAGTGGAGTTGTGTACCAGTAAATCGGATGCAGATCAGTTGCAGTTTAGATTATAAAACCTAAACGTAATATTTGAAATGAATGAACTTGGACAATCTTTGCTAAAGAAAATTATGTATAAAAAATAAAAGCACCTCTCTGATTTTGTGTAGTTTCCCCGACTCCTACCAAACCAACAGTGAAGCAGACTGGACTGTTGGGGTCTGAGGACTTTATGTGGTAACATAATAACAGTAAAGTCTAATGAATGGCAGGACCCAGGGTTGGGTGTACCACCGAACATTGCAATGAATGAATGTTGGAGCTGCTCAGTGCTTCCATCAGGTCTAATAACACTGACAGAGAAAACCATAGCTGGTACGCTCCCAGTTACTAGCGCAGCATACTGAAGGTTTATAATCTTTTATGTTTCACACTTCATTTTTTACTTTCTCATTGACTGCGTTGCATTTTTAGAAACAGTCTTTACCGTCAAAACATCTTCCAAAGCTTTATTCTACGTTTTCTCAAGATGAATAGCCATTTTACAGGACCTGGTTGAACTTATACAGTGATATATGGTATCATAGGAGAAAATACAAGAAGCCCAAGCCAACCACCCCCAGATCTCATTACCGAGAACCAGCCTATTCATTTATCTGCTCTCTAACGGAGGTTTTTTTTGGGTCTATATCTTTTGACTTATTTGAGCTACCCAACTAATTCAATTCAATTCAATTTTATTTATATAGCGCCAAATCACAACAAAAGTCGCCTCAAGGCGCTTCATAGATACAGAGAAAAACCCAACAATCATATGACCCCCTATGAGCACTTTGGCGACAGTGGGAAGGAAAAACTCCCTTTTAACAGGAAGAAACCTCCAGCAGAACCAGGCTCAGGGAGGGGCGGGGCCATCTGCTGTGATTGGTTGGGGTGAGAGAAGGAAGACAGGATAAAGACATGCTGTGGAAGAGAGACTAAGCCCTGATGTACTCAATAGAGGACATCCTGGGCTTTCCACTGATATCTCATGTGATTGGATGGGCTGTTTTAGCTCCAAAGAGGAAGGAAATCACACAAAAAAGTTCAGTGCAAAGATTCTTTGTTACAGCCGTGCTGAACAGAGACGTTGTATATATGTCAGTACAAATGAAGCTTTCTTATGGTCAAGAGAAGCACTAAAACAAAGTGTGACCAGCCAAGTGCAAGATCAGCACAGAATAAAATGCAACAATGGCAAGAAGCGTAATTGCCCCTTTTCTTCCCCAAATTGTGCAGCATGCGCTCAGCTGGAGAGGATTAATACGAATCAGAATGTCAGCAGACCTATGGATGCAATTCAGACTTAATAGCCCTATTTAATGTTCACATACACACTGTGACTGCACAGCACTATGCTTTAGAATACATTGCCTGTCCATCACAGATGCAAATGCAGGATTATGCTTTGATTATACAGTTTAATATAGAAATTCAGAGCCAGAGCCTGCAACCATAGGGTTTATTAGCTTTCCTCATACTTATATACTTTCTGCTTCTTTTTCAGCCAATAAGCATTAGCAGGATACCCACATTTATTTATTTATCAACATTTACCTTACTGTAAAAACTGAAAGATTAACTGTTGTAATTATCAGTCTTATTAGCCTCTTCCTCTAAATACTTGTATTCACACAAGCTTAAAACTTTTCTTTAAAATATTCATATAAAATGAAAGTTCTATGTTTTTAATCTGAGGACTTCTGTGATTATATGGATTTGTTGTTTAAGCTTAATGCTGTCATGCTATTTTGCGATAAAGGTAAAGTTTCTATCTGACTGCTGGTTCTTTGTGTCATTAATGAGACGTCTGAATCAATCATGGGATGATTCCTTTTATGTTTCATACATGGAAATGTAGAGATGCTACCTACATACATGATGAATGTCAGATAAATACTTTAGCACTAAGCAATACAACAAGAAAAACCTATCTTAAGGACACTGGTAGCCCATCTAGGATTAAGAGGTTCAAAATAAATACAACAAAGTGGATCATTTATGTAAAGAAAAATGACACAAAACCTCCAAAATCCAACACCAGAGAGGTCCAGAGGTTGAGCCCTTCCAAAGTTATTTGGCTCTCTGTGCGGTATTTCTAAATAGGCATACTGTAAGAGCTCCTCAAAGCTGCAAACATATAGAAATCGATTTCTTTTGATACAAACTGTGGAGTTCAGCCTGCACCATTAACTCTGAGCTCAAGCAGTAAATCCTTTTCAGTTGAGTTTAATATAAGGAGCCACAATATCACGGTTTGGTCACTGCCGTCTGATGTGATCCCATGTGTCAACAAAAGGTTACACAATACTAGAGTTTCAAAGGATGAACCATATCCAGGGTCACGTTGGCACTTTTTTAAGAATGAGGGTGACGTCAAGGTTACTGATGTGCTGCAGACAGCTGTCCACACAAAAAATGAACTCAGTGACAACTCCAGATCAGACAAGGTAATTCACATTCGAATGACTGTTTTATGACAACTTATATCACACCAACCTCCAGGTGTTACAGGAGTTTAAGCAGCAGCAGTGCAGCAGTGGCACTGACATGGGGTAAACTGAAACATGTAAAGCTTAAACAGAGTTTTAGGGACGTGCGTGATGCAGCACCTGCATGAAGCAGCTCCAAGGTTTTGCTGCAGTTCCTATAAACACTTCTTTCCAAACATACATGTAAATTCCTTATTTGTCTGTCTAATATGTTATTTTCATTCTAAAACAATGAAGCCATCTAGTAAGCGCTTGTCTTTCTATTTGGCTGACTTTCAACAGTATCGTCTCTCAGTCCAAAACACTCTCCTCAGCATCTGCTTGAAATGAGACTTGTCCCTTCTCGTTTCTTTGCAGTGCCTTTCCGTGAGGCTCCAGCCTACTCCAAACGCAGAAGGGGTCCATCTTCTGGCGACGGCAGCGGAAACGGCCAGTCGCCCTCTTCGTTATCAGCGCCACGGGTCCTTCTGCGCTCCAACAGCGATAACAACCTAACAGTCAGTCAGTACCAGCAGCAGCAGCACGGTTCTCCTGGCAACTGGGCCCCCCATCTGCAGCAGCACCAACACGCCCAGCACCAATCACACCGGGCGCCCCAGCAGGGTCACTCACAGCCTGGCTCCTCAGCATTACATCGCAGCCTGTCACCCCAGCTGCTCCAGCAGATGCCCAGCGGCAGCCCCAATGGAAATGTGGTGGTTCGGACCATGGGGAGAGGCGCGAGGAGCCGGTCACCCTCCCTCAGCCGGCTGGGGGAGGAGGCCAGACGGGCTGCACCTTCACAGCGCCAACCAAGGTGAGCCTCTTCAGGACACTGAAGCGATGGGCTGTTTGTATTTGAAAAACACACACTTTCATTTTCATGTTTTTTCTTTTCACCTGATCTAGGCTGACAGACATGAAGGTCGGGGGTCGAAAAATAACTCACAAATATTTAAATGTCAGTATTTTGCTGATTAATTCTGCAACACGCCGGGACAGGGGATTGATCTCTTCTGTCATTTTACACCTGCATGATGCTCCTAGTGAAATAGATTGAAATCGCCATTAAACCATAATTTTTATACAGCTGTACCATGTGATAAGATGCTGCATTGCTAAGTTATCAGTAAGGTTGGTTAGCAAAAGTGAAGCACAGACTTCTTGGGCAGGTTATACCAGCGGTCCCCAACCTTTTTTGCGCCACAGACCGGTTTAATGTCAGACATATTCACAGATAAATACAACAAAATAAAATAAAATGATACGACCAAAAGCAAAACTGTGGTAATTTGTAAATTTAATAATAAATACAAATTCACTGTGTAATTGTGTAACTTTATTAGCAGCGTTCTCCTGAAATGCGCCAACAACACTCCTCTCTGCCCTTTAATGCTCTCTGGTCGCTATGGTAACGCGTAAATATTTCTTTCTTATTATTATCTCTTTTATTGGGACAGCTGTTGAACATAACAGTAGTTTGCCTTTTTACACTTTCTTTGCTGTCACATTTTAACTTATAATTGAAAAATAAAGAAGAAAGAAAAAGAAGAGAAAAAAACTAGGGTTAGGAGGCAGCAGGGCAGGGAGGTTTACATAATACTCAGGGTTGTAACGTCATATACAAAATCACACCTCATATGCTTAACATAGTCTGTCCATTTAGACCATATTCCGTAGAAGGTATCCCTCTGAAGTTTAAGAGAAAATGACACTTTTTCCATCGTATAGATCTCTTGTACAGAATGTATCCAGTCTTCCATCGTTGCTGGTTCAGGCTTAAGCCATCTTCTCGTAAGAGGCTTTTTACTTGCGGCCAGAAGGATATACAGGAGAATTCAGTTTATCCACGGGTACATTGCACAAAAATATGGTCTCAAAAGTTGAAGGAAAAACAAATGAAAAAACATTTTGTAAATGATCATGGATTAGAGACCAATACTGG